CCCCGTCACGGCTCGGGGCTGCTTTTCCGTTCACAGCCGTGGCTGCTCCTTTTTACGGCCATTTCGCCTGTAGAAGTGCGAAGGGAAACCAGCAGTGCGCCCCGTGGGGTTCACCCCTCCTTACCCCGTGCTTCTCGCCCGCCTTTCCCGGTCACGTCAGCTAGCAAGATAGGTTCAGTAACCTGGAGCCAAAGGCAGGCTCTGCCCCTGCAACTTTCTAGGGCGCTCCGGCGAGCAGCGTACCCCTGTACAGATACCTTCCCCATATCCGTGAATCAGTAAAGACCCACGGCACCACAAATGCTTCGAGGGTAAAATAACAGTATTTTCTGAGCTCCCCAGAACATCTTCCTCTAACAGAAACAGTACTGAAATCCCAAAACATCAATTTGTATAGAAAGGGCCCTTACCGGAAGTGGCTCTGTTCTTAAAAAAGCAAATATATATAAATATATATGCCAATTCACTCCAACTGTAACTTAAGTTCTGTAGGTTACTGTGGGCTTTTCTGTTCAAAGCCATCCTGTTAGTCTTCTCAATTATAGGAAAAGGGCCCCAATTAGAATCATTTCTGCTCTTATTGTACAGGAACCGAATGGAACTGAGTAGCTGAGTACGAGTGTCCTTAGGGTTCCAAAGCGGGCCTAGGACGAGGTGCCTGCAGTGCAGGTGGCGCTGGGAGGATGTGTGCTTAACTGAGCCGGCTGCCGCCTTAAGGATTCCTGCTAGCTGTCTTGAGCTTGGGGACATAGAGCTTCATTACAGTTAGTCTATTAGTCTGTCACACTCAGGTTTTTCTTATATTAGAAAGGTGGACACTTGGCTTTAGTTATTTGTCCTTAGCTGGACGGTGTCCTTGGAAGCTGCTGAGGGTTTTGATAGGGATTCTGATGGACTTGGAACCGCTTGGAACTAACGCTGACTTCTGCTTGGTGGAGATGGCTGTTAATCATGTTAGTTACTTTTTAGTCTAGTGTGATTCTGATGCTTTGCATGATTAGTCCTCATGCATAGTGTGCAAGGCTATGTACAGGGTTAATCTTCCCAGTGATTTCTGCTGCCCCAAGGGAAACCAGAATACAAGTTGGCTTGAAGAAAATACTGGTAGCCGCTTTAGCTGGTGATGGAAAACAGTGAAATTCTATGCACTTTCTTTGGGTAAAGGGAGCAATAACAGGTATTCTTTGGATTTGGGGGAAATTTTTCATACTAACTGAAAGATCTTATTTCAAACCTAACCCTGCTTAGATGGAGACATTAGTTCCTCCCTCTTTCTCCCCTCCCTCCTTTCTTCCTTTTTTCCTTCCTTCCTATATTTCTTTCTTACCTCCCCCACTCCCTGCCTCCCTTTTCTTTCTTTCCTTTTACTTCCTTTCTCCCCTGGGTCTCTCCCACCCTCCTCCTGCCCCTCCTCCTCCTCTCTCTCCCTCCCCTCTGCTAGGGCTTGGGGAATTCTACTTGTCCATTTTTAGGAAGCATGGATGATAACTGCTTTTCTCTCAGTTGGTAATTATGTTTGGAGTGGTAAGAAAAAGGAAATAGCTGCCTGCCATATATGCTTATGACAGGGAGATTTTCTAGTTATTTATCTTTGCACTTTTATTAGCTATTATTCAGCTTTCAAAAAAATCAGGCACCATGTTTTCATTTGTCTTGTGAGGAAGTCTGGCAGCCTATCTTTCATTTACTGACCAGAAGGAAAGGAGGCACAGGTTAAAGGATATTATGATGATTCCTTTCTGAATGAAGTAAGTGTGAATATGACCTTTTCTCTTTGCTTTAGGTGATGAATATTGTATACTGCTTATCAATATTATTTCCTCAACAGAACGGGGAAGGTGCTACCTTCAGATCTCTTCTAGGGGAATTCTGGTAATGTTGTAATACTTTTATCACTCTTATTAGCAGTTCCCTTTTCATGGAGAGATAGTTACTGATTGCATGGTACAATTCTCTGGAAACAAGTTCTTTATTAGAATTTACTGATTAATGGAACACTTAAAGGAGCCCATGAATAGTAGAATGAGTAGAACAGAAGAGTAGACTTTGTTTTAACTACAAACAGAAAAAACCTGAACTTATTATAATTCCATTACCTAGAGTTAACATTCAGCATTTTGGTTAATATCTTTTTTTTATGCGTACTATATATATATTTTCTTCATTTATTTAACAAATCATTATTGAGAACCTTCTGTTTGCTAATCACTAAGCACTGTAGGAATAGCCATGAGCCTCTGGCCTCATGCAACTTTCAGTATATGTTGTATTTGCTGGCATACAGTTTTGTATTTTGCTTTTTTTACTTAATATAGTATGAAATTTTCCTCATATCATTAAATTTTCTCCTTTAGTAACTCTGTTAGTAGTATTTTAACATATAGATTTTTCTTAATTTACTTATATCTAATCCTTTTGGTTGTACATTCAGGTTATTTTTAGCCTTGTCTATAATTATAAAACAAAGTGAGGAATATTATAGTGTGGTTGAATTCTAAGATAATTTCCAATGATCATCACCTTGTATAATTCCCTCCCCTGTGAACATGATAGGATATCATTCCCATGATATGTTATATGCAAAAAAGATTTTGCAGATGTAATTAAGGTTACTAATCAGTTGAGTTTGAGTTAATCAAAAGGGAGATAATAATCTGGGTGGACCTGAACTGATTACATGGGCCTTCTAAGAGCAGAGAGTTTTCTCCTGTTGGTGGAAGCAGACAAAGTCAGAGAGATTGGAATCATGAGAGAGATTTGACATGAGGAAGGTTCTCTGTTGCTGAAATGAAGAGGGCCACAGGCAAGCACCTGACATAGGCCTCCAGGAGCTGAGAGCATGTTGACAGCTAACAAAAAACAAGGACCTCAGTCCTACACCCACAAGGAGTTGAATTCTGCAAATAACCCGAATGAGCTTGGAAGCCAGTTCTTCCCCAGAGCCTCCAGATAAGAGTCCCACATGACTGGCCTCTTGATTTCTGCCTTGTGAGACCCTAAGCAGAGGACCCAGTAGAGCTCACCTGGACTCTGACCTACAGAACTTGTGAGATAATAAATGGCTGTTGTTTTAAGCCACTAAATGTGGGATAATTTTGTTATGCAGCAATAGAAAATGAATACATTTGTAGGCTAGATAATTTTTAAATCTGTAATTATTTGGGGAGAGTAAATCCCAGGTATGGACTTGCTGAATAAAAGTTATGCACATTTTTAAGGTTTTTGTATTATATTGCTAATTTGCCCTCCATAAACTTTATACCAATTTATGTGCCTCCTAATAACCTATGTTACTGCATTCTGGCAAACACTAGATACTACCATTCTGACAGGCAAAACAAAAACAAAACGTATCTCCTATTTTGAAAGAAGATTTATGTTTCTTTATTTGGGGTTCAGTTAGTAAGTCTTTTTTAGTGAATACCTATTTTTATTCTTTAGTTGGCTTTATTGTTCACGTAGAGAAAATAGTCCCCAACACATAGTACAGCATTTCTCTGCTGTAATATTTTCAAGGCGTAGAATGATTAATGAGCTTAACTGAGAGAATGAGTACTTCTGAGAAATATTAGCTGCTGCCAGTCTCCCAGACGTAATAATGTGGGAGAAGGGAAAGTGTCAGCTTTGTTGATTAGGCAGTAGGTGTCTTATTCTTTTCTAGGGAAAAAGTCTAGCTTGTCTGATTCAGCATTTGAAATGCAGTTATTTCAGGAATAAAGATATAGTGTATCTTACCAGGGAAAATTGTAGCTTTGGCTATTGTTTTAGAAGGAAATATATACTATTACCTATCAGAAAAAATAACTAACATCTTCCTAAATAAACATGTCACTTTTCAATTTGATCAAGATAACCAGTAATCTCTGATTTTGTATATTATATTGCTTTATTCAGGATGGGGTAAGGAAGGAAATTCAAATTACTTTTCCTGTAATCCTTGTGATTTGAGATAATAGGGTTTTTTTCTGACAAGTGAAATAAGGTAGAAGGACAAAAGAAAAGAAGAAAGGAAGAAGTGAGAGAAATTGGGAGATTAAAGAGTCATTTTGCTTGGTAGTGTCTTAAAAATTGATTCTTGCCATCTCAATTTTTGAAGGCTGGTATCTTCCTAATAAGAGCAAGATATTTTTAAATTTTTACTTTGAAATAATTGTAGATTTATAGGAAATTGCACAAAAGCATACAGGAGATCCCATGTATAACAAAATTTTTATTTTCAGTTGAATGGTCAAATCTTATTTAGTTAGAAAGGTTATCCCTCCCTTGGTTGCTGCTTGTATTCACAGAATGCATAATGGCCTATTCTTCTATGGAGGTCTGATACTGCTTTTGTTGTTGTTGTTGTTGTTAGGTTTGGATAGGCATTGGAAATACTGACTTGGCTTGGTGCTGAGGGCATAGAATGTGTCATTGTTATCAGAGGGGGCCACACCAGTGTGATTCAAGGACACTGTAATATAGTGAAAAGAATGGTAGACTTGACATTAGAAAGCCTGGATTCCAGACTGTACTCAACCACATTATAACTGTATGAGCTTTGAAATCCAGTTTTACTTTCCTGCTGAGTTTTTTTGGAATATAGGAAGTAAAGCAGTTTGGAATCTAAAGCCTAGGCTATCATAATTATAACCAAGATCTTTCTTGCAGTAACAACAGTAAACTCCTTCACTGGTTGTAATTCCTATGATAAAAATTACTTCTTTGATTTGGGCAAGAAAGGCAAAGGAATTCTGACAAAAAGTTTTTTCAAAAAATTTTGTCCAAAAAAAAATGCAAGTGTCATCTTGAAACCTGGGAGGACAGTGAGAAAAACTAGAGGGATGGCGCACCCACAGTATTTCACACAGCAGTAACGCCACACATCAGATTAGCCTAAAGCCTGTAGCTTCAGTACTGTTTGTTTCAAGAAACTTGGCTTTTTGTATATACAGAGGTGGGCAAAAGTAGGTTTACAGTTTATTCTTGTATTATTATTAATTATTATATTATTTATTTGTATTATTTGTCTTTTTCCATGTGAAACTGTAAACCTACTTTTACCTACCCCTATATTATAAAATCTCTGAAGTTTATAGACTGACACAACGAAAGGGACACTAGAGAGGTGAGAAAAATGATGAGATCATCACCAAGCATGTATTGAACACCTTGTAAGGTGCTAACTATTCTGCTAAGAGCTTTATACTAGCTCATTGAATCCCACTGAATGTGCAATAATCCTATGAGGCAGGTGCTATAGTTAACCTCTATTTTACAAGTAAGAAAATTGAGGTCAAATACTTAAGTAAAGTACCCAAGATCACATAAGTACTAAGTGGCAGTCACTTGTCAATTCAGGTGTGTCTGGCACCAAAGCCCATATCTTTACACTATGATAAGCCCTTTATTTTACAGATAAGGAAGTGGAGAGGCTACAACCCAGGGTCACACTTTCTCTTAGTCTAGGTCTTTTTCTTATATACTCTTAATAATTTTTCTATTCCTATGCATTTTGTCAAGCATTGCTGGCTTCTGTGCATCTAGCTAATGTGTCAAATTGATACAAAAGTTAGGAGGTTTTTACACATTTAGATAGAATTAGATTTCGATTTTTAAACTATGTGATGAAATCACTTGATTTAATTTTCAGTGAAGCATTTTCTACCAGATTCCTATAAAGGAGACACTGTCTCTCATGTGCTATTAAAAGTTGGACCTTGTGACTGCTGTCTATGTTTTCTTTTAGAGAAGTCAGAGGGGCAGTCTGTGACTTCATGTAAAAAATAGCCACCAAAGATATATCCAGCATCATTTTTAGTTCTTTAATTTTGGTAAGCCCACGTTTTCAAAACAGATTAAATTTGTCTGGTTTATTTCAGAAGTATATATTACAAAGCATTCAAAGGCAAGTGAAAATTCAAATGCACAGAGCAGAGCCAGAGAGCTTTTTACAGAGGCCCTTCAGAAGGTAAGCATTTCTCCTGCTTTGGTTATTGTATTTTCAGAAACATGTTCCTATTCTTTTTTATTATTAAAGGCATAACCGATTAGAATAAATATTTTTTTAATATTCAGTTGACATATCATTGCTAAAAATGCTGTTTTGTTTGTTTTTACATTTTCAAGAGGCAGAAGATACACTGTCAAACCCTAGAAGGATTCTACTGTTTTCTTCTCTACCTTGAAAAGACTTGAAAATTAATGGGTAACATTTTGCATGAAAATTTCTGAATGCTATTTGTTCTTATCTCTTGAGGCCTTCTGTGGAGAATTAATAGGAGGCTGAATGTACAAATGGATAAAATGGATCAAATGGATCGTCTTAAAGGATTGAAGTTCCAAAAATATATCAACAGGACTGGACAGGTTTGACATAATGAGATTTCTATTTTAGCTTGACTTCTGGAACTCTGAATAAACTATAAACTGAGCTACATAAGGTCCTGGGAAGGAGGTTTCTTTTCTAAACCATTCTAGCTACATATAACATTTTTCTTATTTAGATCCTTTTAAATATATATATTTAGTCATCAATTTCCTGAGGAATAAGACTATTATACACGTACCAACTTTTAACATATAAAGTGGGAAAGAAAGCAACAATTTGTGTCACACTGGAAAAGACATTTAATTAAGGAAACAGACCCCAGGAAGAGGAGAAATCTCTGAATAAGCACTGGTTGAGATGGCAGAAGCTTCTGTAGATGCCTCAACTCTCCCTGCAACAGTGAAAAAAAAGAAAAGTCTATCCATTGAAGAGAAGATCGACATTATAAATGCAGTAGAAAGTGGAAAGAAAAAAGCAGAGATTGCAGCTGAATATGGAATAAAGAAAAATTCATTGTCTTCCATTATGAAGAATAAAGACAAAGTTCTAGAAGCCTTTGAATCTCTGAGATTTGATCCAAAGAGAAAGAGACTGAGAACTGCTTTTTACACAGATCTGGAAGAGGCATTAATGAGATGGTATCGAATTGCTCAGTGTCTAAATGTACCAGTTAATGGTCCAATGTTGCGCCTAAAAGCTAATGATTTTGCCCAGAAACTGGGACATAATGATTTTAAGTGCAGTAATGGTTGGCTGGATCGCTTTAAATCCAGGTATGGTTTAGTATTCAGAGCTCAACCTGTAGAAGCTACAGGTGTATCAGTAGACCCTTCAACTGTTTGGCAGCAAAATATACTTCCTTATTATTTAAATGATTATCATCCTAAAAATGTTTTTAATATAAAAGAGACTGGGCTGCTTTATCGAATGTTACCTACAAATACATTTGCATTTAAAGGAGAAACATGCTCAATTGGAAAGCTGTGCAAGGACAGAATAACCCTGGTAGTTGGGACAAACATGGATGGCTCAGAGAAACTTCCTTTGCTCATCATTGGGAAAAACAGAAATCCACACTGTTTCAAAGGTATAAAATCATTGCCTGTGTATTATGAAGCTAACAGAATGGCATGGATGACCTCAGATGTATTTGAACAGTGGATGCGGAAACTTGATGAGAAATTTCAAGCCCAGCAGCGAAGAGTTGTGATTTTTGTTGATTCTTTTCCTGCACATCCAGAGGTAAAGAACCTAAAGTCCATTGAGTTAGCATTTTTTCCATCATGTTTGTCTTCCAAATTTATAGCTATGAAACAAGGTGTTATTAAAAGCCTTAAAATCAAATATCGGCACTGTCTTATCAAGAAATTTTTAAGTTCTGTTGAAGGCAGCAAAGAATTTACGTTTTCCCTATTAGATGCAGTTGATACATTGCATCTCTGTTGGAGGGCTGTAACCCCAGAGACTATTGTTAAGAGCTACAAAGAGGCAGGATTCAAATCTCAACAGGGAGAAAGTGATAAGACAAATTCAGAGACCGACACTGGTCTTGATTTGGTTGCCCATGCCCAAGCAGCGGGGGTAGAATTTCCTGAAGGTTTATCTATAGAAGAGTATGCTGCCCTGGACGATGACTTGGAGACATGTGAAGTGGCACCAAATGGTGATGAGGTGTTGACCAAAGAAAGTAAATCGGATGAAACTGGATTTTATACTTCCGATGAAGAGGATGATGGTGGATCTCTGGGAAATGAACTTCCTGTACCATCCAAAAATGAGGCAATAACTGCTTTAGATACTCTTAAAAATTTTCTTAGAAGTCAAGATATGAATGATGGGCTTCATAATTCTTTAGCAGACCTTGAAATTTTTATTAACTCTTTATCACCTAAATGATTATTTATTTTATAACATCTGAAGAGTAATACCTTTTCCTGATGTATTTTACTGTATGAGGTATGTAAAGGGAAACTACCACTTAAACATAAAAAAAATGAAAAAATTAGTAATCTTGGTTTACTTACAAGTGTCTTTGGTCTGAATAGCAAAATTCCCTAGGTAGATTAAATAATAATTAAGTAAATGAAAAACTTGAATTTCAATTTAGCAAGTAGAAATGTATTTCAGAGGCCTTGTACTTGAAAAATATGGTATATATGTTAAAAATAAAAAACTCCAGCTGTCTGATTTATACAGGCTGAACTGCTGATTGCTATTTTTTTATGTTCCCATCATGTTCTAGAATATTTTAACTTATCTACCTCATTTAAGAAAGAAAATATCTATTATTGCTTAGGTATTTATTTTTATAAATACATATATATGCTGAGTATATCCTAACTACGCTCTTAAGTATCAAGTATTAATTTTAAATTACTTATTTTTTCTCATAACTAGCTAATCTTCCTAAAAAGAAATTATAAAAAATTATTGAAAATAAAATCTGAGCCAATTATATACCAAAATGATTAAAAATTTGTATGAACTATTTTCAAGTTATTTCTATATAAGGTCAAACAAAAGACTGTGGCCTTGTCAGATTTTTTTGTCACCTATAACCAGAAGATGATGTGGATTCTTCCTAAATATTTGTATGTATATGTGTGTGTCGAATAGCAAAATACATTATTGAAACATTTGTTAAACTCTTACGATATTTATACTTTAATAAGACTTCTCCTGAAAGTAAATATGAAGATTACATATGCTGTTACTAGAAAATATGTGGTTCTTGGTTTCCTCATTTTAACAGCTGAAGCTTATAATCTATAATATTTAATTATTTTCTTGATTTTACTGAATTTTATTTTTAGGGAAAACTGAGTGCCCTTTCAGCATATTCTAATGTATTAATCCACCCCACCTATGGTAATATTTTGGATTAAATTTCTGTTTGAGGAAGTTTGGTCTACAGAATGTTTTAAAATATTGTACCAAATTGTTTACTCTTTATCCATAAAATAGTCTTTAAACAGTAGAAATATAACAATTTGTCTGACTTTTCTATTGTTAAATTTTAAATTGTGTGCTTATTTAACTCATTATAGCTAAATGAAAAGTATTTTGAAAAAATATAAACTGTTTTTCAGATTATTTTTGTTATGAATTATTAGTGTGCCAACAAAAGACACATTTGGAAGGAAATATTTATAGAAAGTATTTTTATTTTCCACTGTTGACTTACTCTGTTTTTGAGATTTTGTAATAGTAAGCCTTAAAAATGTATTAAAATGAAGAGAGTTTCTTTTACAGTGAAATATGGACTATTTCAATTTAATTAAAAGCATTTTTATTAAAGATTTGATTTAAAATTTATTGTGGTAGAATCATGGAGCTCTTCAGAGCCCCAGCTGTAACTATAGTGCCTGGCATATATTGAGTCCTCAACAATTTTTTCCTTTCTTTTTTCACTTTATAAATTTTTTTTTTTTAATCCTCACCAGAGGATATTTTTTCCATTGACTTTTTTTTTAGAGAGAGTGGAGGGGAGGGAGAAGGTGGAAAGAGAGAGAGAAACATCGATGCAAGAGAGACACATTGATTGGTTGCCTCCCGCTTGCACCCCAACCGGGCCGGAGATCAAGCCTGCAACCGAGGAACATGCCCTTGACCGGAAATCAAACCCAAGACCCTTGGGTCCATGGGCTGATGCTCCAACCACTGAGCAAACCGGCCAGGGCATCCACATTATAACATTTTGATATCAAATATTTTTATTTTAATCACTCAAGATATTCTATGACATAAGAATTATTATCTTCATTTTTACAGATGAGCAAATTAAAACCTGGAAATACTAAATTATTTGTTTAAAATCTCAGAGCCCAAACTAAAATGCAGTAGTTACCTAGTCCTGTGTTATTTTAACTATATATCTTTATGCTTCTTTTCTATATAAAAGAAAATTCTATAGTTTCCCCTTGAGTTTAGGGGCTTGAGGGTAAAGTATTCAGAGAACATGCTGAATCTGTGCTGTCAGCTCTATTCGCAAGATCTCCCCTGCGATCCCTATTACTATGGAAATGCTGGGATACCTTCTATTTGGTAATTCTGTACACTCTAATGCTCAGGTTCCAGTGGGGTTCTGTTGAAAGCATTTAAAGCAACTTCTCTATACAGTCAATGCAAGTTGGAACTAAATGCCACTTTTTTGTTTATTTGTTTGTTTGTTTTTGTTGTTGTTAATCCTCACCTGAGGATATTTTTTCCATTGATTTTTCTAGAGAGATTGGAAGGGAGGGGAAGAGAAAGATAGACAGACAGACATTGGCTGGTTGCCGCCCACACGTGCCCCACCTGGGCTGGAGCCTGCAACTGAGGTACATGCCCTTGGCTGGAATCAGACCTNGCAAATTAAAACCTGGAAATACTAAATTATTTGTTTAAAATCTCAGAGCCCAAACTAAAATGCAGTAGTTACCTAGTCCTGTGTTATTTTAACTATATATCTTTATGCTTCTTTTCTATATAAAAGAAAATTCTATAGTTTCCCCTTGAGTTTAGGGGCTTGAGGGTAAAGTATTCAGAGAACATGCTGAATCTGTGCTGTCAGCTCTATTCGCAAGATCTCCCCTGCGATCCCTATTACTATGGAAATGCTGGGATACCTTCTATTTGGTAATTCTGTACACTCTAATGCTCAGGTTCCAGTGGGGTTCTGTTGAAAGCATTTAAAGCAACTTCTCTATACAGTCAATGCAAGTTGGAACTAAATGCCACTTTTTTGTTTATTTGTTTGTTTGTTTTTGTTGTTGTTAATCCTCACCTGAGGATATTTTTTCCATTGATTTTTCTAGAGAGATTGGAAGGGAGGGGGAGAGAAAGATAGACAGACAGACATTGGCTGGTTGCCGCCCACACGTGCCCCACCTGGGCTGGAGCCTGCAACTGAGGTACATGCCCTTGGCTGGAATCAGACCTAGGACACTTCAGTCCTCAGACCGACGCTCTAACCGCTAGGATACTGGCTAGGGCTGTCTTTTCAAAAAGCCACTTGACTTACAGTTCACCTGTTTTTCAATTAAATGTGGTATTATTTTCATTGTTTCTTGCCTTATAAATCCCCACTGTTTCAACAATGTTTTTGTTTCTTTCTACTTCACCAAGCAACAGATCTTGAATTTGGGACATTGTTTCACTACCAATGGCTACAGAACTGCTGCGAAAAGCTTGGTTTAGGATAAAACAGGACAGTTAGTAAATCAAGGCCTGTGGGTTTCGTGTTGCCCGCCTGGCTTCTCCCTGGGACCTGACGTCAAATGTCAGGCACCCCTTTTAGTGTATACAGAGCAGAATAATTGGGAGGGGGAGAAAGCTAGGGGAGGGAAGAGTTGAAGGAGAGCTTCCCAAGCAAACACCTAGCATGTCAAGAGAAGCCCTTTCCATTTACTGGCCCAGCAGGGGCTCAGTAGAGACTGGCAGAAAGAGATTTGCCCTTTAGGAGAGGCAGCACCACACATGCGCCCACGGGCGCAGAGTCCAGCGGCGGGCTGGGTCTGTGGCGGCACCAAGAGCTACCTGAGCATAAGGCAGCCGAGAAGCTGCACCAGATGCTGAGAGATCCTACCACCACAGGAGATAAAGGCCTAGGTTGGGGGCCATGGTGTACACGTAATAAGTTTTCAGAAAATAATCTCTCAATGGAGTGAATTAAACGAAACCCTAGTTTTATGCTACCTTGTGAAAGACATTTCATTTCTCTGAACTGTTTGCTCCATCCATGAAACGAGACTGACACTTCATTTGAATTTCTTTTGTGGAAAGATATTTTAACATATGAATGTATTTAGCAAACTCCAAGATGTTCCACAACTATAAGGAATGACTAGAAAGGTGCTTTGTTTACTACCAGATATGCCCAAGTATTAACACTGTGGTCACTAAACATCAATGACCAATTTTCTTATTGGCATTCTTCTGTGCAATAAAATTGGGAAGCCAGCATTTCTAGAAATATGCAATTTATCCGTAGAGCTAAAAATTTATTTTCATTTTGCATGAGGGAATAAAGAGAAATCTTTATTTTTCCTGAATTGATCGTCATGCAAAGCAATTTAATAAAATAAGTACTCATCACAAAATAGCCCTTTCTGTCACCACATTAGTTCATTCAATTATACTATTTCCTTGAGCTGTGAAACCAAAGGTAACCCAGAGTTGTGGGGAGACTAAGTTATATAAACACTACTGTACTAACCAGCTTGGGCTGCCATAACAAATACCCAAACACCATGGACTGGGTGGCTTAAACAACAGAAATTTATTTTCTCATAGTTTTGGAGGCTAGATGTCTGAGAACAGGGTGCCAGCACGTTCAGTTTATAATGAGGGCTCTTCCCTTTCTCCCCTTGGTTTGTAGATAGTCACAAAGACTTCTTCTTTGTCCCAGCACAGACATGGCAAGGGGGGGTGGGGACCAAGCTCTCCAGTGTCTATCTCTTATAACAGCACTAATCCCATCATAGGGGCCTCACCCTCACGGCTTCATCTAACCCTAATTTGCTCCCAAAGACCCTATCTCCAAATGAAATACCATCACACTGGGGTTGGGGGTGGAGTTAGGGCTAAACGTGAATTTTGAAGGGGACACAACATTTGGTCCATAACAACCACCTAGTACCAATAAAGGTATTCACATATTTAATTTCCAATTTGCTATAGCTATAAACTAAAAGGGCATGCATATTTCAGAATGTATTAATCAGCTACAGCTATTATAAAGAACTTTAAAGTTTATGAAACTTAAGCAATGTGGAAATATATCATGTCCTTGGAATAAACGGAAAGACTCAATATTGAAATATATCTTTCCCCAACTTGATCCCAATCAAAATGCCAATGCAGGTTTGTTGAAAATTTTGCAAAATAATTCTGATTTTCACCTGGAAGAATAGGTAGTATGTATCCATAAAATTTTGAGAAAAACAAGTATTTGATTTAACAGAAGTTTAAACAATATGGTATAAGAAAGAATTAATAGGTCATCAAAGAAATAATATATGATGTCTAGAAAAAGACAACACATGATAACATGGTTTTAAATCAGTAGTTAAATAGATGAATTATTACAATAACTGGTATTGGGGTAACTAGCTAACTATAGGATTTTTTTAAGTCATACATCAAAATGAATCCTAAAAGCATTAGACTCTTAGAAGGAAGGAAGGGAAGGAAAAACCGAGAGCAGAAACTTGCAAATACTAGGAAAAATATTGTTAAATGTAAATATTTTAATATTTTAGTAGGAAGATATTTTAAAAAGTGACACTCAAGAAAAATCGTTGAGAATAAAAATACTAAAAGTATGAAAATGTTTTCAACATCACTAGAAATCAAAGAAATGCAAGCAAAGCAATGAAATATCTTTTGAGGGACTATCACAATAGACAAGATTATAAAGAATGATACTAGCCAAGAGCAGAGAGAAGTAGGTGCACTGTTGTCAGGACTATAAACTCGCACACTCTTATAGCTGACATGTATTAAATACTAATTACCAAACATTGTTCTGTTGTGCGTGTGTTACCTCAATTAATTCTCAGAATAACTCCAACTATTCCCATTCTCATTTTGCTGCTGAGAAAATTTAAGTATAGGTATAGCTAATAAATGACAGACCTAGGATTCAAACCCAGAAAGTCTGACTGACATACGTGTACATGATATAAATTTAACCTAGCGAAACAAACATATCGAGGACATTTGTTGCAATGGATCCACGTCTACTGTCCCTTATCCAGAAGCTGAGAGCACGTTTCAGAATTCAGAATGTCTCAGATTGGAAGAAGATAATATATGTGTACACTCTATATTATGTAGCACCCCCAGGGGCAACTAGGGCAGCGTTGCTCAAACAATGATTTTGCAGGAAACATTCACATGAAGTCAGATGTGAAGGTTATAAATAGCTTAATAGTTTCATAGGCTTATTGCCAAGTAAGTTCATATCAGGTCAGCTTTTGCCACCAAATGGGTTACAAACAGGCTTTCAGGGCTTTTCATGTTTCGGAATGCAGATAAAAGATTGTGGGGCGATAACAGCTTAAAATAAAAAGACTGAAAACTATTTGAGTGTTTAGAGGATTGATTCAATATGCCTGTTCAAATGAAATGAAACATCAAGGTCCAAACTTTTTTTAAAACTTCTTTTACTTGAGTGTAGATACAAATTTGCTTGTCTTAACCGAAGTGATTATTTTCTACATTTGACTTGCAAACTCTGGAACTAAAATTTCCTGTGGTTCTCTTTG